TATGGCCAGTAAGTCTGTTAATTTCAGCTTCCTTTAACAGACCAAGCTGTCCATCAAAAGTGTCAGTTAGAGAGTTGAGACAAACCATTCAAGAGTGACAGGGGTACTTACAATGATCAGCTTTTAATCATTATTGTACTTAGTAAAACATTTATCCTAAAAGGAAAAAAATGTTGCTGTAACTGCTTAAAAAGTGTTAGCTGGAGTCTGGCTTTAATTTGTTAGTTTATCTAAATTTGCTTGTGCATCTAATACCCCCACTCCACCCCCATACTGACAATTCTGCTGTCCAAAGGTGTCTCCTTAATTCAGAAGGGAGACACCCTAAGACATGAAGTGTGTTATTGGCAGGATCATCAGGTGAGAATAAAGGAAAAAACGTACAAAAAAGAAAACTAATGCAGTCACCGCATATAGAGTCTGTTCACACCAGCTGCAGTGTTACAGTGCAGAGGCTGGTGTGCAGAGCAGTGGGATCACTGCAGTGCCAATACACCGATCTTGGCACATTGCATCGTACTGTACTGCATTGAAAAAAAGTACGGCTTGCCACAGTGGTGTGAATGGGGCACATAGGAGACAAAGCATTTTGCCTTGTCTTGCTGTATGAGTGCACTGAAATAGCCGTTCCCACTACACATGATGTGAATATAGCCTGAGGTACTGTAGAAAGTTCCTCCAATTTTGTAAATTAACACTGCTCTGCCAGAAAATAGCAGTTTGGAAGCTTTTATTTATATCTGAAAACACTTTAGCATAGAATAGTCTATTAGTTGTATAGATGTTACCTGAACATTTCAACACTCTTCTGAATTTGGCATTAAAGCCCAGTCCAGCCAAAATTATTTTATTTTGGATGGAGTGGGAAAAAGTTTGAATTTTTATTGGAGACATCTCCTTGCTTACTGCACAAGTGATCTCCTTTTATGCGGACAACAAAACACACTCTCTTGTAGAAGGTTTCATCTACTGTCAGTGTTCTCCTGCACCAGTGACCCAGCATGGAAAATCTTTCCAATGGAGTTGCAGACAGTAAGAAATACCAGATAAATGGTCTTACTCACTCTACTCAAAACTAAACTATGACAGATATATTTTGTTTGCAGAACATGCTGACTTTCTATTAGGAAAGCCCAGCACTGGCAGCATGCTTGCTGGCAACCTGTCTATATGTAGCTAAGTCTGATGGCTAGGCTGGTAGCATAGAGGGAATGAATGTGTTGCTCCACTGAGTCTGTTAGTAATGTGTGTAGTCTGATTTCTCCTGCTATTAAAGAGTTACTAGACCCAGGAGCCTGCATTCACTATATCCGGTCTCCCACAGTACACACAACATGGAAATGTAATTATTTTAGTAAATATAAACTGCTAAATACCTTTTCTCATCAGCAGTTAGAGCAGTCTTGTGACTTCTATCAGTGTCCAGCCAAGCACTGGTTAAAGCCTGTAGGAGGAGTTTTCTCCCCACATAAATTTGGGGGTTTTCAAGGGATTTGGCAGGTAAACAGAGCAGGGGGTAACACGCTTTCCTTTAAGGCCCACATGAATACAACAGATATGCAAAACCCCTGACCTCTGTCTGGACAGTGCTGATTGGCCCTGTGCTGATCACATGCACTCACCCAAGAAAAAAAAAAAAACCTCTCTAGCAATACACACCAAAGTGAGCATGTGCAGTATCTCCACACAATATGTCTTATCAGGAGATAAGAGGGGGACACAGGAACAAGGGGAGGATCAGAGAAGACAGGATCAAACATCCTTTTTACACAATGCAGAAGATTAACCCCTTGGGTTCCACAGTGAGTATAACAAGCATGCTTTACTGCATATACAGACTGATTTTACTGCTGTGGGTTTAGCATCACTTGAAGGTCTATTTCACAAAATCACCCTCCCCCAAATGGTTGGTGCTCTAGCAAATGGTAAACATATTACACAATTTTGAACTAATTTTTTAAAAAATATAATTTAATAAAAACATATTGTAAAAAAATAATAAAATAAAAATGAGCCTATTCATGTGAGGTAGGGACTTTATAAGGTTCTTAATGGTAGGGACAGATGTGAATGCAGAATATGCAAGGTGCTATGCAGTATAAGTACCTTTAATAAATAAATGAGCACCTCTTCATCTTTTACCCCACTTATAAAGGTTGACTAATAAATATTTTGCAGAGCAAATATCTTCTGAGTGACGTGTGACTATATGGGCAGGATCACACTATGCCCTGATCTGAATCACACAGGGGTGCGTTCCTGTGCGATTCATATGCGGGTCTATGCAGTGCAATTTCAAGCCCATTCATTTGAATGAGCTGAAATCACAGAGCACCGTGCTAAAAGTAGTGCATGCACTCATTTTGTAAACCCACAGCAGCCCAAACGCATGGGGCCATTCACAAAGCACAGCGCTTCTCGTGCAGTGGTGACCTCGCTGTGAAGCCGCAAGCTGTCACAGCTGGGTGCCCACACTGAAGATTCCGGTGCCAGGGACAGAAGACGGCCGGTGAAACCAGCAGTGGTGAGAGGATGCCGCTAGACCGAGGAACAGGTAAGTGGCTGTATTTTAAAGAGTCAGCATCTGCAGTTTTTGTAGCTGCTGACTTTTTTTTTAAGCTGGAACTGCACTTTAAGACAACAGTTTTATACTTTCAATATGTATTTTGCTCCTGTGCCACGCTCGCAATAGACCGTTTATGCCTTAGGATGCTAAATTTTTGGACTTCTTCCTCTGTGAAAGTAACACTGAGCTCCCTTTCCCAGTCCACAAAATAGAAAGGTTTAGTATTAGAAACCTCTGTTACAAGCGGATTATTTAACCATTTAAGGACAGCCCACCTGCAATGTTCTGTCGGCCTGTACAAGCACAGTGACGTACCTGTACGTGGCAGGCCTCTTCCAGGTACAGGGCGTGCTTGCACGCCCCTACCCGCCAACCCCTGCTGTGATTGTGCACAGTGGGAGTTTGTCAGCAGGTCCTGGCCAATGACTCATGGCCAGGACCTGCTGATCGGCTGGGTCCCATTACAGCCCAGAGCCCTGTGTTGACAATCAACACAGGGCTATGTACAGAGGAAGCTATATTTTTATTTCAGACAAAGAGATTTTTAGTAAATCCGTAATATCCCAAGATGTTAACCCCTTCCCAGCCAGTGCCAATAATACAGTAACAGTGTATAGTATTATCACTGATCACTGTATTAGTGTCACTGATAATGTCAGTGCCAAATAGTAAGTCCCCACCCAGTGTCAGATTGTCCGTTGCACTATCACAGTCCCACTATAAGTCACTGATCACCACCATTAGTAGTATATAAAAAAAAAAAATTCCAGTATATATACCATAGTTTGTAGACGCTATAACACAAGCCAATAAAGTATACTTAATGGGATTTTTTTTAACCAAAGATATTTAGCAGAATACATTTTGACCTAAATTTATGAAGAAATTTGATATATTTGTTTTTCGATGTTTTATAGCAAAAAGTAAAAAATATTGGGGTTTTTTTTTTCACTTTTTTCATTTTTTTCTGTTTATATAATAAAATATAAAAACCCAGTGGTGATCAAATACCACCAAAAGAAAGTTCTAATTGTGTGAAAAAATTACATAAATTTTGTTTCAGTACAGTGTTGCATGACTACTCAGTTACCAGTTAAAATAATAGCAAACAATGGCTTGGTCCTGAAGGGGGTAAAACATTCTGAAGCGGAAGAAGTTAAAAAAGAGTGTGCATAAGAGGAATAGGTTACATACACATACATTTAAAAGTAGTAAGAGGGCAGTGAAGGTTGCCTTGTTTTTAAAGAAATATGAAAGTCCCTAATTTGAAAGTATAATAACCACCTACCCGAGGGCTGGGGTAGGAAATCAGTCAGTTGTGTCAAGGGTTTCACATCAGTTGGACCAAAGACATCAGCTATTAAAAGATTCGCATGTGGAGGAAAAAAATGGCGGTTAAAGTTAGCCCCAGGGGAAACTCTGGGTTGCCAGTAAGTATAGTTAAGGGGCATAGGCTAATTTTTTAGACAGGAGCCAATTAACCTCCCAACATGTCTTTGAAATGTGAGAGGAATCTAAAGTACCCAGAGAAAACCCATGCAAGCTGTTGGAATTCAAACCAAGGATCCCAGTGCTTCAAGGCAGACGTGCTAACCACTAAGCCACAGTGCTGACATCCATGGAAAATTCCATGAGAGGTGCAATAAGTCATTGTGGAACTGGAAGTGACAGAACTGCTATAATTTTATGGCCGTGCCATAGTTACCCAGAGTACTTCCAAGAGTCAGCGCCAAATACAGAAAAAATGCTGGTTGTAGAGCAAAAATTGTAAAGCATATCAATTAGGGGTTAGAAATACTACAGATAAAATAACTTTTCCTTCACTTCCAGAAATTCAAATTTACGCACAGGATATTTACAATGTTGTACAATTCACACCCATTTATGTTAAAGAAATATGCATAGCTCCCAACTGTCCCTGATTTTGAGGGACTGTCCCTGATTTGGAACAAAATCCCTTTGTCCCTCTTTCCTCCTCATTTGTCCCTCATTTTGGTCTGATTTATATAGTTGTATATAAGATGAACTATTTATCATTCAAAAAATGATTCCCAGTTCCCAGTTTCTGACCTGTCATCAAATTTCTAAATTGCTGCATTTGAAAATGTATCAAAAGCCAGTGTAAAGAAATAGTAGTGGCCAAAAAAAAGCACCCATGGGTTTAGCGAATCGTTTTTTTGGTATAATTCTCCTTTAAGGGGGCGTGGTGGGGGGGTGTCTTATGCCTACATACTTTTGCTAATAGGTGTCCCTTGTTCCTATCTCAAAAAGTTGGGAGGTATGAATATGATGGACTATCATGCTGACCTTGTGAAATCCTAACAGAAAAGCTGGGAAGAGTTGGTTATATCCAGTGTTCACATACAGTATAAACTTTAATTCATCATGTAATTTTTTTCCAGGAGCACTAGGGCAGCGGTCTTTGTCCGTGTCCGCTCTGCATAAGCAGAGCAGACATGGACCTCTCATCCACTTGCTCAGCGGGGATCAGCGGGCAGATCCCCCACTGGGCAAGCTGATCCGCTGACGGGTTCGCCCAGGGGTGGACTGACAACTCATGGGGCCCCCGGGCAATAGGGGATCATGGGGCCCCTGTGTCCTTGCCCAAACTCAAAAAAGCCTATGAAAAAGGTACCAGGGGCATCTCATGGGGCCCCCTACTGACCCCGGGCCCTTGGGCAGTGCCCCAGTTTCCAAATGGTCAGTCTGCCCCTGGGTCTGCCCCATGTGAAAGGGGCCTTAAAGGGAAGCTTCTCTTGAAATTGTTACAATGCAGGTATAGACATTTCTTTAGTCCCAAAACAAGCAATCGCCATTCATACATTCTTGTTATTTCATTATGTAACGCATTATATCAGGCGTCTCCAAACTTTTTAAACAAAGGGCCAGTTTACTGTCCTTAAGACTTTAGAGGGGCCGCACTATGACCATCGGGAGTAGAAAATTTCCCAGCATAAGTTGAAGTAAACAATGCCCCATCCTTGGTGTCACTGGAAGGAATTGTACCCCATCATTGGTGTAATTGAGCCCCATCGTTGGTGTCATTGGTAGGAATAGTGCCCCATTGTTGGTGTCATTGGTAGGAATAGTGCCCCATCATTGGTGTTATTAGGAGGAATTCTGCCACATCGTTGATGTAAATGAGAGGAATTGTGTCCCATCGCTGCTGTAATTGGGAGGAACTGTGCCCCATCACTGGCTTTATTGGAAGGAATTGTGTCCCATCATTGGTGTCATTGGGCCACATTGTTGGTGTCATTGGGCGGAACTGTGCCTCATCATTGGTATCATTGGGAGGAATTGTGCCCCATTACTGGTGTCATTGGGAGAAATTGTGCCCCATCATTGGTAGTAATTGTACCCCATCGTTCATTCCATTGGGCCCCATTCTAGGTGTCATTGGGAGGAACTGTGCCCCATTGTTGGTGTCATTGGCAGGAACTGTGCCCCATTGTTGGTGTCATTGGGAGGAACTATGGCCCATCATTGGTGTCACTGGGAGGAACTGTGCCCCATTATTGGTGTCAGTGAATGAAATAGTGCCCCAAGGGCCGGATAAAAGCAAGCAAAGGGCTGCATCTGGCCCCCAGGCCGCAGTTTGGAGACCACTGCATTATATTATCCTAAGGCCTCATGCACACAGGGCGTTTTTGCAGCCACTTTTAGGGGCGTTTTTTTTTTAACTACTTCCAAACGGCCTTCTATTTTATCCTATGCGTCCATGCACACATAGACTTTTAGAAACTTTTAGAAGAAGTAAAGTTTAGCAGCAGGCAAAGAAACCCAGGGCCACTGCATTCAGGAGCAGCAGCGTTTTGGGAAGAAAAAAATGCATGACGTGGCAAAATGCGTCTAAATGTGCCTGAACGCTAGTCACGTTTAGAGCTTGAGCATTAAGTCATTTCAATGGCCAGAATAAATTATTCTGGCCAATGAAATGAATTAATGCCCAAGCACTTGACGCTTGTAAATGCACCTAAACACTTGTAAAGGTTTAGATATTTTTACAAGTGTCAGGCTCTTTTTCTGCAAAAATGCTGCTGCCAGGAGGACAGCTTCTAGGAGAGCTTTTTTTTTTATCATCCTGTGTTCATGAGGCCTTAGACTCCTAAATTCTCCTGTGTTCATTGCATATACATAAGCATGGTCAATTCACTATAGTTTACCAGGTGGTATTTTCATCACAATGCCTTTTTTTTTGGATGACATTTTTTCTTTCCAATTCAGTGGTGGTTTAATTTCACGGGTTTGCAGACTTTTCCACATGCATCCTAACCTAACATAATTGCACAGGTTAACACTCCTTAAAATACCACTCGATTTATATCAGTTATAACTCTGAGGTTCTACGAGGTGTCTACTGAGGAGATTAGAAAAAGCAGTCCCAAGCAATTCCACGTACCCACCAGGAGGTCTCTACCTACATCTACTAATCTCCAGCATTGTAGATAACGATACAGAGAAATGAACTGTTAGCTCAATACAAGTCAATAGCTTGTCAAGTTCAACCTGATCCAGACACACATTCTCTTCCAGGTCAGACATCAGATCATTTCACAGTTAATATTTTGTAAGATAGGGGTTACATGATCACTTAGATTTAACAAGCAAATAAATCAAGAGTGAGATAGAGAAGGAGGTAATTCTAGCACTTCTGGGTCATCAACACATTCACTTTATATCATGCAGTGTTAACCTTACTGATAGCCTTTCTGCTGCTCCTCTTGGTGGTGAGACGTGCCAAATAGTGAGTGTCGATTAGAAGCAGCAAAATGTCACATAAAAATGCATATAGCACAGCATGCTGCACACTGACAGCTGCCTCTAGCTCGTGGGAGACACGTGGAGATTTATCAGTTCTCACTAGCTCTCCCATTATGGATGGGAACATTTAGAATGAAGGCAAAACCTTTGGAATGAAGGTAAAACTTAATTCTATGCTTTTTAAAGGTATAGTCCATCATGTGCAAAGATTTCATAAATGCACCCACAAGAATAAAATAAAAAAGTGCATTTATTACATTTTTTCCATTGACACTGCAGAGCATTGCAACCAGGATCAGTGGGTACAATGCAGAGGCTCATCCCAGCCTCAGGGGTACAAACTAATACTTATGGTACTGGAGGAAATAAACAATAAACTACAAGCACAGTGATGTCACCAGTGCAATCTACGTGCTGCAGTGACAGATGAGACCTGTACTCTTTCTATTCATAGATCCATGTGAATGGATATGTGAATGGATGATGTGGCTGAGTGGGTGGAGCCATGCATAGCCATGTTAAATTAAAAAATCAACAGGATGCTCGATGGAAAAAACATCCTGCGATTCAGGTAAGGGGAGGGGTAATTTGTTGTTTGAAAAAGGGGGTTTGGGGATTGTGACCCTAAATATGTGTAAAAAAAAATGTTCAAAAAGTTGCGCTAAGCCTTTAAATCACACCCGTACGTTAAGCTGAACAAGGAACAGCTACACACAGATGAAATACATACAGTATATGAAAGTTATCTTAACTGAAAAAAAGTTTGTAGTTCTGTCCATCCAGTTCTGGGATTTACACAGATCTGTCACACAGTAGAGCCCTAGAGGTAGTGATGGAGGGGCACTGGACACTGATTTTCACAGGTTATTAAAATGTAGACAAAATCATTAATTGAGCCCAACTGCCTTGTTTTCAACAGCTTACCATAAAGAAATGGACCCATTGAGAGAGGATGTTGACCCAAAGAGAGAAATCCAAGTATGGGACAAAGAGAACATCAAATGAAAAATCCTTAAGAGTCCAAAATCATTAATATCAACTGGTTACCACATGCAGGGCAGAACGTTAAATGGACTCAAAAATAACTTTCAAGTAGACTGATCTGCAGGTAGAATATGTTATAAAAAACAGTCAAGGCTGGTGCTCACGGCTGAAGTGGCAAGGGCCAGACTAACTTTCAGCATGCCAAGAATGAGCTGGGTGCAGGGGATGCAGGCATTATATCATCAGTGGCAGCTGAATGCTCATAGAGAAGCGTTGACAGACACAGAGGGAGCATTGAATGGAGCAGCAACTGGTACTGGACCTGTCAGCACTGAAGGGGGGCACACCAAGACCCCTTAAACACAAAGGGTCCGATCAGGTTTTTGAGGCAGACCTGATTGGATGGTCTATTCACTTCTACGGACCAGCAAGTGTAAACAGATAGGGGGGAATTTACTAAATCTGGTTCACTCAGAATCTGGTGCATCGAATGGAGCAGCAACAGGACCTGGAACTGTCAGCACTGAAGGGGGACACACCAAGACCCCTTCCACACAAAGGGTCCGATCAGGTTTTTGAGGCGGACCTGATTGGATGGTCTATTCACTTCTATGGACCAGCAAGTGTAAACAGATAGGGGGGAATTTACTAAATCTGGTTCACTCAGAATCTGGTACATCGAATGGAGCAGCAACTGGACCTGGACCTGCCAGCACTGAAGGGGGACACACCAAGACCCCTTAAACACGAAGGGTCCGATCAGGTTTTTGAGGCAGACCTAATTGGATGGTCTATTCACTTCTATGGAACAGCAAGTATATACAGATAGGGGGAATTTACTAAATCTGGTTCACTTAGAATCTGGTGCATCGAATGGAGCAGCAACTGGATCTGGACCTGTCAGCACTAAAGGGGGACACACTAAGACCCCTTTCACACGAAGGGTCCGATCAGGTTTTTGAGGTAGACCTGATTGGATGGTCTATTCACTTCTATGGACCAGCAAGTGTAAACAGATAGGGGGGGATTTACTAAATCTGGTCCACTCAGAATCTGGTGCACCGTGCATGGTAGCCAATCAGCTTCTAACCTCAGACTAATCATGAATGTCCCATACAAAATCATGATGAGGTCCCAAGCCACACCAAAGGGTGCACTCACATTGGGCTCAGTTGATCAGAACCGTGCCCGAGTACGAATGTCCCCCCTCCCTAACAATGTGATTCAAAGAATCTCTCCCAGGCACTGCCACTGCCAGCCAGCCCACAATGACTCTGCTTCCATGTTCAGTGGAGACTTCTGTGCTCAGGCATGGTTTTGCACTCACACTGAAGCAAGCCATATCGGATTCCAAGAGAACCATGTCCCAGACTGCTTCTTCCTCTCTGACCTGGTATGCATAACCATATCAAGGCATGGTTTGGAGCACTCACTCATCAATGAACCAGACCAAGGGGATAAACCATGCCTGGTTAAAAATCCTAGGAGTCTATTTATAAAAGCTCTGTGCAAGTCCCAAGCATTGACACAGCTGTCAATAAACAATATCCCTGTATTTTGCCTAATATGTTTTATTTTCTTACAATTGTCAGCTCCATCTAGGGGTCATAATGTTGTATTTTCCTGAAATTCCTCAATCAGGAAAATACTGCATTATAGCCACTAGATGGAGCTGATGATCATGGGAAATAATCATATTAGGCAAACACAGTTAAAGTGGTTCTAAGGGCTCATGGTTTTTTACCTTCATACATTCTATGCATGCAGGTAAAAAACCTTCTGTGTGCAGCAGCCCCCCTAATACTCACCTAAGACTCCTCTTGATCCAGCGATGTGCACTGGAGTCTCGCTATCCTGGGACTTCCTCTTTTTATTGGCTGAGACAGAAGTGGGAGCCATTGGATCCCACTGCTGTCAATCACAACCAGTGAGCCAATGAGAAGAGAGAGGGGCAGGGACGAGCCACAGCTCCATATGTGAGAGGACATACGGC